GCCGGCACAACTCAGAAAATAGTTACGCTTGGTTTCTGTTGCGTTTTTAAAACCTTTTAAAACAAAAAGAATAACACGTATCAAAAATGGTTTTTATTCTGTAAAATTAACTATTACTTTTTACCATAAATACCAGTTAAAGTTACAGAAAATACACTATTTAACTATTTTCCGTTTAACAATTGGATTTAAATATGCAACTTTTATTTTCCAAAAATGTTTTGATAGTTCAGAGTCATTTTTGTATTAAAAAATAGTAAATGATTTTGTATGGTTGGCATATCTAATTTTAAATAGTCTTCTACTTTACCAATTAATAGAAGTGTGAGAAGGATCATTAAAACTTATATTAGCTGGTATAAAGTGTTTTTTATTAAATTTTTGTTATAGCAGATTTTGCATAATTTAATTTAAGTGAAATCTAAAACGTCATTTTAAAAATACTTGAGATTCTTCAAAAAAGCGGAATACTAAAGTTAAATCAAATGGAAGTTTTATAATATTACGCCATCAAGCTGTGTTATTTTTCATTTCTTCAAAATTCGTAGTTTTCATTTCATTTTCAAAATTCGTAGTTTTCATTTCATTTTCAAAGTTTATAGTGAGCTGCTCGTAATTCTTTATCTTAAGTTCGTAATTCTTTATCTTAAGTTCGTTATTCTTTATCTGTTCATAATTCTTTATCTAAAGTTCCAGCATAAAAGAATACTCGACATTTGCAACATGATATTTTCTTCAAATGCTTCATACATTACTATACAAAGAGCTCGGTCAAAAACATGACGTTGACAACCAACGAAATGTTGTGCCTTCAGTTTCATTTTAATAAAATTTCTTTTTAACTGATCAACAACCTCATTCCTTCTTCCGATTTTTATATTCATAGTGTTCGCCTCAACCATCTTTATATTCTTTTATTAATTCTATTCATCGAGAACAGATGTTATACCATTAACAACTGTATCTTATTTTTAATTAGCTAAACTGAATATTCTTTTCTGTTTTTTAATATTAAAAACGTCATTCAATGGATCTTTTTGTGTTTGTTGTTTTACACATTTATCGTGCGTCTTCAACATTTCATCTAGTTTTGCTTGTACGACTTGAATTATATAATTTGAAAAAATTAATTTCTTTTGCTATTAGCTTATTATCTTTTTCTCAATTTGCTTAGGTGTTCTCATCTTCCTTTGATGGTTTCATCCGGGGACATATAGTAACCAAAATTTTTTATTATAAGTGTTATCTTCGAGTAATTGTTCTTTTATTGGAACATTTCTTAATTTCATGATTGATTTATGAAATTGTACGAGGATATTCATCTAGATTTCTGTGTTTATTTCAGTAGTGGAAGCGTTTTTAAGCAGCCGTGTTGCAGTGATGCTTGATCAGAAACAAAGGATCCATGGTTCATATCCCATTACAATTATTTACCTTGCAAATTATATACAAAATCCTACGACAAAAAAAGAAAATACGAAATATCCATAAAAAACGTATGAGTAGCTATATTGTATCCAATGCAATAGCAACGTCGTAGTTCTAATGAAAAAAAATGCAATAGCAACGTTCGTAGTTCTAATGAAAAAAAATGTTTGAGCAACGTTATCAGTTTAATATAAACAATGCTATCAAGTTGGTGTAACAAGCGTTATCATAAAGTTTTTACTGTGATAAAAAATAACTTTGTGTAACAAAGTTTATTACAACGTTTTAATTCTGAAAAAAAAAGACGTTTTTTAACTTATATTATTATAAAGTAAGATTAAATTGGTTGATGTCACGCAACATATAACCCAACAGAAATCTAACGTTTGATCGACAGCCTTTACCAATTGGGATAACTTTAGAAATATTTAAAAAGTATATATATTCTTAAAGTTTTTTTGTTTCTAACAAGTAAATGGTAAATAGTCGCTGTTTTTGTAAAATTATAAGCCAAGTTATATTTTCAACAAACTAAGTTAAAAAATTATATTCTTCCTACTGGCAATATATATAAATATTTTTGAAATGTAAAATTATTTTCACTCTGGATAATTTGTAAAAATATTTTCAGTTTTTGTTTATTCTACATTATTAATTGTTAATAAATCAATTGCATTTTTATTTTATTAATTATACACTTTTGATACATTTTATATGATTCGGGCGACAATATCTTTTCGATCTTCTTTCAGATACCAAGTTTATATATTGTTATAATGTTATATTACGAATAATAATTGTAAACTAAAAAAAAAAAAAAACGTATGAACCGGTAATATATGGTCAGTTAACATCTATATTTAGTTTCTAAAAATCGTAAGATGTGAATTAAGGTAAGATCAGCAGTTGAAAAGCATTTTCTTTTTTTTCAACAAATAATTGATTTTTATACGAAAATAAGTAGTGAAACTGCTCCTTTAATGTTTATTTCATCCATTTAGTTTACTGGGCTATATTGAAACAACCTGAAGAAAAATTTTGTTATTTTTTTTCAAAAACAAAATAACTAAAAACACGTAAAATTATTAAAAGTATAAAAACTTTATAACTGCATTTCCTTTTCGATATAATTACAATATTTTTATTTTTTTCTAAACTCACTTGTATTAATACAAATCATTTTATCAACTAAAAAAAATATTTAAAAAAATTGAAACATTTTTTAGATTTTTGTTTATGCTTGTTTAAAAACGTAGCAACTTTTTTTACATTTTTTTGGCTAGAAATTAAATAATTGTTCAAACCATGCTGAGTCTAAAAAATTGCAAAATTGAGCTACGGTATTTAATTTTAAAGATATTTTAATGTTAGATTTTATTACATAAAAAGTGACAATTTTCTCCCATGATTGAAAAAATTGCATTTTTAAGAAACCTTTCAAACATGATTTTTTTTTTTAATGTTTTTATATTTGTACACTGAGTGACATAATGATTAGACACACCTAAAATATTTACAAAACTCTACCATGCATTTATATTTTCTAATTTTTATAGTAAAGGACTGTCCATTAATTACGTCAACAAATTTTTTGATGTTTTTACCTCCCTCCCTCCCTGTCAATATTTTGTCAAATATCCAGAGACCTTCCCCCCTCCCTAAACTCAGCCTAATTTTCCGTTATTAAAGCAATGAAACTCAAAAAAAAAAATTTTGACGTCAACTTTAATTGGCCTCCCCTCTCCCCCGTGTCAACAATTGTCAAAAAAGTTCAAAACCCCCTTCCCCTATTTTGTTGACGTAATTAATGGACAACTCTTAAAAGTATTACAAAACTAAATATCATTTTTAAAATTTATTTTTATCGTAACTCGCATTTTATAAAAAAAAACTGTATTTTTAGTACTACAAAATTATATGACACTTTTGAATAAAATTATTTAAGTTTTCATTTATAAAAACGACGTTTTAGTTTTAAAAAATCAAAAGTGGGTACTTTACCGTTTTTTTAAATCACTTTAATCATTCTAGAAGGTAAATTATACATGTAGGAAATGTTAATTTCATCCCATGCAGGTGTGATAGAAGATTTCAAGTCAGCTAGTGAATTATGTTGTTTACTACCTTCAAACACTATTTTTGACATTTTTTACTAAGCATTCTCAATAATTTTCAGGTCTGGAGATCTAGCTGGCCACTTCAATGTTTTAATTTTACTGCTGTTGAAATATTCCTTTACTATCTTAGCTGTATGAACGCGTTATCTAGCTGAAAAACAATATTTTTACTATCTATGACAGATAGTTCACGTCTTAAAAATTTTTAAAAAATGAAAAGATAATCTTAATTTTTCCGTCAATAAAATGAATTTTTGATTTATCATGATACCCAATTGCACACCAAATCGTTACACCACCACCACCCACCCGACAGCAGTGATTTGTTACTGGTTTCTTGCACAAATCGTGATTTTAATAATTTTATCTATCCGGCCCATCAAGACAAAATCGTTTTTCGTCAGAAATTACTATATTTTGCCACTCTTCTTTCCATCTTAGGCGGTCCTTTAAAAAAGTTATTTGATCCTTTATGTGATTTGTTGTCAAAGGTAGTTTTTGCTGAAGTTTTTTGCGTGAAAAGTGAAAAGTATTATGAATAATTCGCTGAATTTTGCATAAATAGCAATCACACCTACATTTGCAGCATTTTTTTGAGCAGTTAATGAAGAATTCGAAGATTGTCTCAACAAACTTCGCTTATCACGGTCACTTAATGTTGATGACGTCAGGGATTTTCTTTGCTCCATACATAAGAGGACTATTAACGTAGTTTTTAATTACGGCTACGTACAATAGCTATAGCAATTTAATTAACAGAGTGACCCATTTTCGATAACTTAAAAAGTGTTTTTTCTCATCTGGACTCAACGGTGCAGCATTACTCATTATTGATTATTTTTATTTTTTATACCTAATAAAATAAATCTAAACTAAATTTTTTACAATATACAAAACTTTACAGTTCAATAATTGTATGTGGTGTTTAAATAAAATAAGTATTCTTAATTACCCTCAACTGCGGTTTGCAAATAAAGCGTTTTTTTTTTAAATTGCTTTATAATTTTTTCGCACTAAAATAACGGGTTTTTTTATAAAATGCAGGTTACGTTTAAAATAAATTTATTATAATGTTGGTTAGTATTGTAAACCCTTTGCTTTCATTTACAATAAATAATTAGTTTTTAAATATGGATGTATGTTACAGTTTTGTAAATTATTTTGAGTTGTCATATCATTATGTCTCGCAGTGAACATGCAAACATATATTTGTACATACATACATACATAAATACATACATACATACATACATACATACATACATACATACATACATACATACATGCATACATACATACATACATACATACATACATACATACATACATACATACATACATACATACATACATACATACATACATACATACATACATACATACATACATACATACATACATACATATATTTAAATATGTTATATACACATACTTAAATATGTTTATTTATTTTAGCTCACCGGCATATAGCATCTGTCAATGATTTTCGAACACCCGGATTGTATCGTCCTCTTTTGATTGGATGCTTTTTAGTTTTTACTCATCAGTTTAGCTTCGTTGGATGCGTATATGCTGTGAATAATTATGAAAACAATTACAATGGTTTTATAAAACAATTATTTATAATACAATTTGAAGTTGCATTAGTGGGATGCTTTATAGTAAATCTGTGTTCTCGCAGATTTCTTCTTCTATCTGGAAGTGCTATTTTGTGCCTTTGTAGCGTTGGGTTTTTGCTCCTATGTATATTGAAAATTTGTGACTTCATTGATGAGGGTAAGGATGAAAAAATATGGACAATTAATCTTTCAATATATGTTACAGTATTTAGCACTACATGGGGACCATTACCATGGATTATAATTTCAGAGGTAATTCCACCTCGTGCTAGTGGACTTCTTGGTAGTCTTGTTGGATTAGTTAATTGGCTACTACTGTTTTTAGTTTCAAATATTAGTAGTTTTAATTTGGATTGTTATGGCCGATTAGTCTTTTTTTGCTTTACAGCAAATTTACTTATTCTAAGTTTTATTTTTGTTTACTATATTGTACCGGAAACAAAGAAACTTACTTTAGAAGAAATTGAACATTACTATATCATCAATCGCGGATTTCGAAATTATTTGTCTTAAATTAGATCTTTTGATACTTTTTCCACTGATACACCAAAATGATAATAAAATTGCTGAATTTTAAATACGAACTTATTTCTTACATTTTTAAGACTGAGTATTTATTTACTCAATAAAATCTTATTTTACTTCATTGGAGCTGAATATAGTTTATCTTTTTTAAATGATCATTCTCTATACCATGTGTAACATTAAAAATATTGCAGAATACATATATCACATTAAAAAAATTGTAGAATATCAATATAGCAGATTTTTAGTGAACCTTTATCGGGATTCGAAGCTTCAACTGTTTTGGTTATTTAGAGAACTATTTTAGTCAATCACTATAAGTTGAAAACCATTGACTAGCTACTATACATGTTAAAAATTGATTGGCTTCCCACATAAAGCAAACCCCAATAATGCACAGTGGGCCAGAAACATGAGAAAGAGATCAAAATTAATAACTTCATATAAAATCAATTTAACAATATTAACATTATAAAATCAATTTAACAATAATTCTATTTATTAAAACATAATATTACAAACATTTAAATTTCCTTCAGGTTACTCACTTTCAAAAAAGATTAAAAATTTTTGAATTGTTAAAGGTTGGTTGCGCTCATTTTTTTAACGTTTGCTCACTGCTGGCCCACTGTGAAATAGTCCGCTAAACAAAATTTTAAAGAATGCAAATTCACTAAAAAATCTTTTTCTGAATACTATATTATACTATAACTGTTTAATTCTGTTTTTAAAAAAGGTTATCAATGAAATCCTTTTTAGTTTTTCCCCTAACACTTTTTTGCAAGGTTGTGTAAACGGGTAGCTCAATATTTACTGCATTAAATAACTATTGTTATGCTTCAGTATAATATAATTAATTTGGTCTCGTTAATAAAGATAATTATTATAAATTTCAAAGTTTGATATAGATCATAATATAAAAAATTATTAGAAGAGAATTCCACCTATAAAATCTTACACCTAAAATAAAAATGTTTCAAACAAAAAAAACTTTAATTAGATAAACGTTATATCGGCGTAAATAATATATAATATTATTTTTCTGAATTAGATCTATTGTAATAGATCTAATTATTAAAAATAATGTATTTATTAATGTTTTTCATTCAGCATAGTTACATTATTTAAAGTTTTTTCATATTTAGCTGTAATAGAGTTCACAGATAGTTCAGTAGGTAACCGATTCCAGTAAAAATATGCTGTGTTTGTTAAAAAAAATGCCGAGACAAAAACTAGTTATTTTGCAATTACATTTCATTTAAACTTATTTTTTCAATTCTACTGAATAACTTGTACATTTGAACAAAGTCTCACCGAATCCGTTAAAGAACTAGAATAGTGAGACCTGTTTTATATATATATATATATATATATATATATATATATATATATATATATATATATATATATATATATATATATATATATATATATATATATATATATATATATATATATATATATAAAGATCCTTATCTTACACTCAGTCCCATTTTTGGGTCATCCTGGCCCCCTGCAAAAAATTAAATTCAAAGACAAACAATGCAGCAGACGAATTTTCTTTATTTAATCTAATATTCTTTACCTAGCATTCAAATAAACTTAAATATTTTTTATTTGTATGTTGAACATAAACAAATGAAACAACTTTTTTTTTATTTTAATTATCATAATTTATTAAAAAAAAAGGTTTCTTGTGTATTAAAAAAATAAGTAATCCAGACAAACTAACCGGACTTCCTATCACCCTGACTCATATTATATACATAGGTGAAGGATGTGAGCACTAATATAAACTTACAAAAGTTTGAAGTTGGTTCAAGTCAACTTTCTCAAACATAAAATAAACAAATAAAAAAAAGTCTAATATATTTTGATCAAACTTTATAACAAAATAAAACAAAAAAACATAAATATATGATACAGAAATATATCAACGCATATATAAGTGGGGACAAGGTAGCTGTTTAACAATTGATTTGCTTTCTGTTAATAAGTAATCAGGAACCTGCTGTTTTTTGAAGGATTTGTTTCTTGGGTTTGAAGCATCAAAATCTCGTCTAAAGTATTTAGTGTTCCAACTATTATCTTCCTTTGAATTTACAACTTGGCCTACAAAATGGTATGGTATCTTTTTTCCTTCGGACCGTGCAATGATGTGGGAACCTTCTGCTAATGGGTATTTAGAGGTTACGACCATACCAGAATCAAAAACTTCTTTATTAGAATTAGGATCTGATTCAAAGCTTTTTCTTATGCAGTCTTTATTTAAACAGTCTTTAAGCTTTTTTTGGATATGTGTTTGCTTTTGATGGAAAATGGAGCCATAAAGGCCAGAAACGCCGTTGTATAGGTTATTTTTTTTAGCATATAAGTCTTTTTTTTTTTAACGTTTTACTTTTGACTTTCTGTATACCCTCAGATTTTTTTGCAAAATCTTCTTGTAGATCTATATACATCTTGAAGCTAGAAGGCATATCATAATCGATAATATCTTTAAAACGATTTAAATCTACTGAAGAAGTTATTTTATCTGAGGAGTCGTTCGAAATGGTATTTTTTATTTTGATTAGCTAGCGTTTTGATTGGAATTTCTAAACAGAAGAAACTGCAAGATCATCTAGTAAAACACTTTTTTCCGTTAAAACCTTAACTTTTTATCCGTGCAACACTGCCCCAGGCTTTTTAGCATATGCCTCTCTAAGTTCTTTAAGACGTTCAAGAACTAACGGGGATACTCGGTTTTGAGAGGATGTTGAAATGCCTGTTCTTAAAATCTTATCAAAAATTTTTTCTGTTTAGTGGGTAGATACCAGATGTTTTAAACCCATTTACAGCAAACTCTTGTATGTGGTCCATATTAGATATTAGATAAAGGAGCAATCTCGGCAAAACCTTTTTTGGTAGGGATGTATGAAACCTCCCTTCCCCAATTTTCCATGCAGTAAGCACTTTTACCAGAAGAGGAACTAACAATTGCTCAATACATTGCGACTTTTAGTGATTTTGGCTATGCATTCGAATAGTAGACCTAAAGCCATTTCATGGGTCCATTAACTGCAAGCTCTAGAGGTTGTAGCAAATGTGTATTGTTTGGAGGTAAAAAGACCATAAAAATATTATTAGCCTCACAAATTTCTATAACCTCAATAGACAAATGGCATGCTAAATTATCACCAATGAGAATTTTTGGTGCATCATTGTCAACATATCTGAAGTAAGGTATTACTAATATTTGCATCAATTCTATAAAACAGTGACCTACAAACCAACCAGACTTTGTTCAGTTATATCGTTCACCCATTGGACCTCCAAGTATCCATGTGTCCATTAGACGCTCAGCTTTATACACTGTATATGGAGGAAGAAATACCCAATCAGCAGAACATGCAAACATAATCGACATTGATGACTTTGATGTATTCATAATTCGTTTAGCATGTTTAGTACCCTTTCGGAATATCATTTGTTTTGATTTTGGGTCATCAGAAAAATTTGTTTCATCAAAGTTTATTATATTTTGAGGCAAAATATTTTTTATAGTTTCTTCTAAATTACTAAAAAACCTATTTACAGAATCAGATGAAACCGCAGCACGTTTTCTACAAATATTTTAACATGCTCAATAAGATAGCAATTTTTTATGCCGTTTTAAAAATGATCTCACCCAATCATTACCAGGCAAATTTTTTTTAAAATATGGGCAATCCCTATCAGATTTTTGAAGAAAACTTTGTATAAACAGCTTTAGGTCTACTATTCGAATGCATAGCCAAAATCACTAAAAGTTGAAATGTATTGAGCAATTGTTACTTCCTCTTCTGGTAACAATCCACTCCTTCGACCATCCACGCTAGTTTTTCTTAAACCAATAACATGACATCTTAGAGTTCTGTGTGGTATGTTCGATAGCCTTGCCACACGTTTACAAGGTTCTCATTAACAAGTTCAACTGCTTTTTCAAGTTTATAATCTGTGTAGGTTATGGAAAGTTTTTGTTTTGATTTTACGTAGTTTCTCACCATTTTATCAGATATCTAATATGTAAAAGTAAAAATTATAAGCTAAAAATTTAAATTATTTGCACCTTTAGATATTTATTTCATTAACAATAGTATATAAAGGGTAAAAAACAGCTATTTGAAAAGGTGCTCATTTACCCCAAATAAAAATGCTCAATTACCCCACATTACTTTAAACAACATTATTTTATTTACAATTCATTTATAGACTTTAAAATTAATACGAATTTACCTCAACATATGTATAATATACAACAAAAAATTCAAAACTCTAATAAGGTTTTAACTATAAATGCTTACCCTTAGTATTTCCAGTTATTAGTTTTTACAGAATTCTATAATTCTGCATCGTGATATATTTAAAATGTTATCAGCTATTTTTTTTTGACCAAAACAGTTGTAATTAGCAACATACAACTTCAAAAAGTTAATTTAAATATTTATATCTTGAAAATGATCTAAGCATTGATAGTATCTATTTTATATGATTTAGAAAATTAAAATATTTACGGGTGCTCAATTACCCCACGCTACGGTATATACATTTATATATACTTAATTTTTTAAGTGTATATATATATATATATATATATATAATATATATATATATATATATATATATATATATATATATATATATATATATATATATACATATATATATATATATATATATATAGATATATATATATATATATATATATATATATATATATATATATATATATATATATATATATATATATATATATAAATATATATATATTTATATATATATATATATATATATATATATATATATATATATATATATATATACATGTATATATATATATATATATATATATATATATATATATATATATATATATATATATATATATATATATATTCATATATATATGTATATTTATATATACATACACTAAAAAAATCAAGTATATATAAATATATTTACATATACATATATATATATATATATATATATATATATATATATATATATATATATATATATATATATATATATATATATATATATATATATATATATATATATATATATATATAATATATATACTGAATTTTTTAAGTATATATATATATATATATACATATATGTAAATATAAATATATATATATCTATATATATATATATTTATCTAGATATAAATATATATATATATATCTAGATAATATAT